GTATTTTTATCAATAAAGAGAAAGTTAATAACGTCAAGTGCCTGTGATTTTTGTATATTTTTCTTTGATTGATACAAGAATTTTCATCAATTGATATCTTTTCAAAACCCCTGGTAATGCATGCTGATTTTTTATATATGAACATCTGAGGCCTGTTCAACAGAGCGAGCGCTCGCGAACATTTCTTTTGAAGGGATAAGAAATTTTGGCGAGCGCTCGCGAACGTTCGCTCTGTTGAACAGGCCTCTGATGACACTATAATCTTAAGTAAAGAATATCTTGAAAAATTATCAGTAGGTAAGGTACGTTGCATATGTCCTTAAATCTATATAGTGTCGAAGATAATCAAATGCAAAGTGACTCGCCATATATCTCTTCGGAATTATTCCTATTTAATACCTAGTTATACGTAAAAGGTAAGTACATCAATTTGCATCATCTCATACTCAAATATTAACTTATTGAACACCTTTACCTGTTATTACCATGTAAACGTCGTCTGCTATGTTTCCGAGGAAATTCGCACTGGTTACATTCTCGCTTTAAATGCCTTGCCAGAAGGAACTCATTTCAACGTTTTAAATCAAACACTTACAAAGAGAAAAAAAAACTTTCTTCACATTTATATCTGTCTTTGTAACACCGATAGTTGGTAGTCACCACTATATTTGCACTTCTGTAAATAACAAAAAGGTCATGGTCGAATACATAGATAAAGTGAGTTCGTCTCTAAGGCATTTCGCTCCGTACGCATACACTGTGTAACTAAAATGCATTAATGCATTATCCAAAGTTTATTACATAAATACCACACCTTCTTAATAAGTATCAATTATTTAGAGAAAATAAAGGACTATATATAGATATCTATAAATGTCAAATGTGCAAATCATTTTCTCTAATTATTTTTATTTATTTATAATCACAGAGGGACCTAGTCAAAATGAATGTAAAATCAAAGGAAATAATACACTCTTTATTTAATGCATCAGGCAAGTTGCATCGCTTAACAAAATGGGGCCAATAAAAAATTATTGTCAAGCGAATGATAATTAATATTGTAAAAAATGATTAAATAAAAAAGCAAGACATTTGAAGAGGGGGGGGGGGGGTCGATTCCCAATTTATTTAAATGTATTTTAATAATTTATGTTTGGTTACCAAACTAATATATCAATTTATTTGTATCCTTATTAAGCCTATATACAAATGACAAAATTTTATTCATTTATACATACATATATTTAATATCATCATTTTTTTTATCAGCAGGTAGGGAATGGTCACTTGATGAAATCCTTTGCAACGCCAACGATTTTAGCCTTGAAAGAACCCATTCGAAACATTCTTGCTGATACTGAAGACATGAAATCCTATCATATCTCTGATAGTGTTGTTATCCCCTCTTCCATATTGCTACAAAGCCATTTCCACTTGACTTATAAATGACTGTGTCTTTGTTAGTACTCCTCAACATTAAATTTATGATTACAATGTATACAAGACTTCGTTTGTTTTGTTATCCTCCAAAATCTACAACAAACAATAACTAGGTAGTCATGATTATCCACTGGATAAAAGACTTAACCCACCTCTGTGGAATGGCTAACGTTGGCCAATATTTAACCACTGGATAGCAAAGTTAACCAGCGGATAAATTCTGAGCAACAGAATTTAACCAATGGTTAAAAGTTAACCGCTGGATAAGAGATTTAACCAGCGGTTAGCGCTAACCAAGGTTTTGAGCAACCCAGTCCTGCAGGGCCCGGTTGTTCAAAAGGTGGTTAAATTTAACACAGTGTTATCTCTGTGCTAACAAGTGTGTTAAATTTAACCACATGATTAAGTGTTGTTCAAAGGTGTGTTTGTGTTAACAAGGTGTTAAATCTGTGTTAAATTTAATCCACCTACGGTAGGTAGATTAAGAAGTTAACACCGTGATTAAATATGGCCGCTAATTTTCTTATTCATCCGCCTGGACCCAGAAAACAGCGTGTTTTTAGACTACACACAAATATAGACGGTTGGTCTGATGAAGAATTAAGAAGAAGGTACCGATTTGGTCAACATGGCATAAATTTTATTGGGGATGTCATCAGAAATGATTTAGAAAGAGCCACTAAAAGGAACAGCGCACTTACACGTAGCGTCCAAAATCAAGTAATGATAACCTTGCGCTACCTTGCAAGTGGTAGTTTTTTGCAGGTTGTCGGGGACACCCTAGGTACAATTAATAGAATACAGTACATACACTATGTAAATGTTAAAAATGAAGTTTAATTAAAGTTAAAAATAATAATGACACCATGGAAATGGAAAATTTCATGGGTATATATCGCATGTATTAAACGTAAAACGCGGATTAAATAGTCTATCCATAATGAAAAAAATATATACAGATTACTCAAATTTGAACAGGGTTTGACAAAAGTACAGTCTCTCGCACCGTTAAAAGAGACACAGAAGCACTGGTTGCTAGAGCTGACACATTTATAAAATGGCCCGACGCAACAGCAAAGTCTACTATCAAAACGGGCTTCTACCGGATGGCAGGTTTCCCCAATGTAATCGGGTGCATCGATGGGACTCATGTACGGATCCAGGCCCCTTCACACGACGAAAATTCCTTCGTGAATAGGAAAGGATTTCACAGCATCAATGTCCAAGCTGTATGTGACCACGAAGGTATCTATCACTGACCTTTCAAAGGCCCCTTGTGTCATTTTCGTTCGATGTTTTTTTTTTTAATGTCATAAAATTTATAATTTCTAGATACAATGAATTCAGAGGTTTTTCAATCCTCCTTCTACAATCCCTCTTTCATTATTATCGTATTAGTTGTACATTCAATGTTTTAAATGATTTTTTTAAAGTGATATATGCATGTAATCTAGATTAACCTCCCCTTCGAAAAATAATGTGGCGGATCCAACCTTTGATTATTTATTTCACTACAATCAAGAAGACATCATTGTATTGGGACTGGAACCTACATGTACAAGAAAATAAATTCAATTTCATTTTTTTAAATAAAAATTGAAAAAGAGATTCATATCAGAATTTAAATATTAAAAATAACAGGGATCTATATACTAACGTTAGTATATAGGTCCCTGAAAATAATTTAAAAAATAATTAAAGTCCTATATGCCTTTCTTTATATACAATCTAGTCTTGATATATTTGTTCATTGAATTTTTTTAATTATTTGGTTTCTGAATTTACAACATAGAATTTGGGACATGCAAGTACTTTCACATGGAATTTTTAGGTAATTAAAATGGGGTCCTATTACCGGTATAATAGGTATCTGATTATTTATTACCACTGCAATATATCTTGGTAAAATATATAAAATTGACCTTTGATTTATAGGAAAATTGAGAAACTGAATTATTTTGCACATTAATCAGCCCCAATCCCTATACTAGTGCAAGCTTTGAAAAAAAAAAAATCCTGAAACATGCATGATCAATAATAATTATTATGTTTCTCTTGACTAGTAGAATGTTATTATTATTAATAATAATATATTGTATTTAAATGAAAAACAGAAATTTTAAAGAATAAAGCCTGTCCTCCATATTTATATTGCTATTAAATCATGCACCACCTGCCCCCCCCCCCCTTCCTCACACAAAGTGTGTTTTAAATCAATTCAGTTACATTAAACTGAATATTATAACATTTATTGCAGGAAAGCTTACAAACATCAATGCATCTTGGCCTGGGTCTGTACATGATTCCCACATCTTCAGAACATCACAGGTATTGAAGTAATATCAGGGACCTATAGGTCCCTGGTTATATATTTATGATATTTTAAGAATGTTCTTCACCATGCAACACATGTCCTCACTCTCTCTCTCTCTCTCTCTCTAACTTCCATAATCTCTCATATTAGAGGCACATTATATCTCTTTCATGATTTTTATCTCTCTTTCGTTCTCTCATCATATGCATTAATATTGAGAGTCTAATGACTATTAGATTTTGGAGGTTGATTTGGAATATTGCAATCTAGCATAAGAAAAGCCTGATAATATTTATTTAATTATCAGATCAGAACATATTTGGAGGAGGAGGAGAATGGTCTATTTGAAAATGGAGTTTTGTTAGGAGACAGTGGATATGCTTGCAGACCATTTCTTCTAACTCCTTATGCCAATCCCCAGAATGAACCTGAGGAGAAGTACAATCAAGCCCATGCAAGAACGAGAAGTGAAATTGAGCGCACCTTTGGGCGACTTAAGCGGAGGTTTCATGTTCTCCACTCAGAGGTATCTTAATATTAAACATTCTAGTATATTTTTCACCAACATTTAATAGTGCAATTTATAGTGAAAGAAATTATATTTCATGCCCATTTTTTTTTTTTTGTGTACATGTAAATTTACACTTCAAATGCATTTTGATCTGTGTAGATCCGAATGAAACCTGACAGGGCATGCAGAATCATCATAGCATGTGCTGTCCTCCACAACATCGCCATCAACCTTGGAGAGCCTGAGGATGAAGTTGAAGAGGACCAGCCCCAGATGCCTGCCTTTCAAGGCCCTCAAGATGGAAGAGGAGTGCGGGACTATGTGAAGCAGCATTACTTCAGCTAATAACTGTTTTTTTTAACATTTAAAGAATTGTACCCATAATAGGATTTAAATTTCATATTATTATAATTATCCCTTAGGCCATGAAATATGCTAAAAAATATTATGAAGCATCAATAGTAGAAAAGGAATAAATTACCAAAACAATTCCATTGAAAGAGATTGATTCATTTAGTTATTAAGAGTGTCTGATTTCATTGACCAGTGTTTTTGTATACTTCACTTTCTATATTATGATTAAAATCAAGAGGAGATAACTCTTCAATAACAGGTCAATTTTAAGGTCACCAATTAATGCACACATACTCAAACACTATATACCAATAGTTTAAATGTAAATATTCATATATATATATATATATATAGAGAGAGAGAGAGAGAGAGAGAGTAACCTTACTTCTCCTTTCCTTGATATGGATACTGCCTTGTGTCTCTACTACAGCCAGGCAATGCTGTTTAAAATAAACATGAAATCAGTCAATGTTTAGCTTCAAGAGGGGATTGGTGCATTTAAATTGCTACAGTTTCATATAAGAAAAATATGAATATCCAATCTAATTTATTTAATTGTTGTAATTAAACATGCCCCTTGCAAGGAAATGGACCTGAGTATCATCCTTGGTCTTTATACCGGTAAATTAATTATAAGTCTTTCTGACTCTTAAATTGTTGTCCCCTTCTTTTATTTAATTTTTATTTTTCTTGCTTAAGCAATTGAGAGCCTGACAAATATTTAATTATATAGCTGCAATTTACATGAACTTGGTTGTTTTGGTGGACTAGGTGGGGAAAGGGGTTCCTCTAAGGGCGTCTCCATGACAATGAAGGCTTGACTTGCTGAGATAGGGGATTGGGAGGGCACAGGAAGGTCCTCACAAGCATCTTGCCATATGTCCATATCATGTTGATCCTTAGTTACAGTCTGAGTGGGAGATGCTGCCATAGAGGATAATACTATAGAAAACAAATATTCATTATTAGTCATTTTTATACACATGGGTAGTGTGTGGCTTCAGCAGTACTTGCAGCATAAATTCATCAGATTATTTATTTATATATTTTTTTAAAATTATAATTACTTTTTATAATTAGTACACATATATATTGTATGAGTGAAAATATGATTAATATATAATTTTCTATAATCTACACATGTATATTTATTATTCATTTATTTATTTTTCATCATTTTGTTTGTTTTTGATTTCTTTGGGTTTTTTTTCCTGATATTTTGTTTTTTCTTTCCTTCTTTCTTTCTCTCTTTTTTAATCGATACAAACCCACATGTATAAATATGCATTTTTGAGATCAGAAAAATTTCAAAACTTTTTATGCTTAGAGTGACAGAGTTGTCCTAAGGAAAAGACAAAGCAAGAATTCAACATTGGGGACTCCCCCCCCCCCCCCCAACCACCCCAAGGGAATTTTTGTTAGTTGTTATTTTTTTATTAGTTGGGTATTACTTCTCTTAAAATTCATTTATACCCCCTCCATAATAACACCATGTTTACTAAAACATTGGGTGAATGTAGTTTTTGAGGCTCTTCGGATTTAAAAAAAAACAAACTTGGATCCACTCCGATTCACGAACGTCAGCAATCCACGTGTCTTGATTTCGCATTTGATCTCCGTACCTCCAATCTTCACATTTTACATAGTTAAATTACTACGAGCACATATTTAATCTTATCTAAAATAATTAAATGTAATCATTCAAGATATAAGAAACATATTTTGTGCGAAGCTAATCAAACTTTTAACATGGAAAAAATTAGAAAGATGAAAGCACATGGTGATGGTGAGTTCGCCTCTTATTTTTCATTTTGACCTTAACAACACAAATGAAAGCTTAAAAAAAGAGAATGTTATGATCATTATTCATTCTTTAAAACTAAAAAAAACTACATTTTCGTTCACAATCCTACATGCATAGTAAATGTTATGATTATTTTCGATTTGCATATATCCCCATGAAAAGGTCAAGGTCGTGTTATTGTAAACAAAATCGAAAGAAGATTAGGAAACTTGTCAATATACCTATTCAAACACATGATTATAAAAATTTATTAGGCCTATTAAAAGAAGAAAAACAACAACAAAAATAAAATACCCAATCATTTTTAGGTCTAAAATATAGATTTTAACAATAAGATGTCATTTCTTCGAGCAGACGAAAATGTTCCTTGTTATTATGACACATATCACTGTTTTGTTCAAATTAAATTACAAAATTTTAGGTCAAAGTAGTATTTTATATTGAATTAATAAAGTATTATTATATAATGAGTTAAATAGAGTAAAATCTTTGAAATGTGTGTACAGTGTCACAATGTGTGTATAACTGTATTGTTGGTGTAATATGAACACTGTTATAATCTTTTTACTTTATTTTATTATTTAATAAACATAAAATATAGAGATAACGAGCACATTAGATAGATTTTGTTATTTAACACATAAAAGCCATATTTTACCAGAACATCCAGGCATTGAAGTTTCAATGCCCCCTTCAATCCCGTGGAAGGAACTGGCATCCCTGTACATGTCCACCACATCCTGCATTGTTTGGGAAAGAGGGGTAGGTGGAGGCCCTCCTCCTGTTTTTGTCATTTGTCTCCTGTTTTCCGTAAATTTCAATTTTGCTTCCCGACACATATTGCGCCATTTATCTTTGACTTCTGTCAAACTCCTTTTTGCCACCCCCACAGCATTGACTTTTCTAACAATTTCAAGCCAAATGGCTTGCTTCTTAGCATTAGTAACAGTATTACTATGTTTTGCCTCCAGAATAGGATGGAGTTTCACCTGATTTTTGATAATTTCTATCTCTGTTAATGAGAAATTGGTGCTTCTTGCTTTCCTATTCTTTTTTGAGCAGACGATGTCAGGATTGTCAGCCATGATTGTTTACAAAGGAAGAGAGGAGCATTTTGGGTAATGAAGTGGTTAGTGAGTGATTAAGCAGTGAACACAGTGTTAACACAGTGTTAGCTAACCATTGCGTTAAATTGCTTTTGAACAACAGAATTTAACCACTGCGTTAGCTAATCAAATGATTAAGGTTTAACACATAGTTATCCTTAACCACTGTGTTAAATTTAACCACCTTTTGAACAACCGGACCCAGAACGATATATCTCCACAACGATCTGTGCTTCTCATCCTCCACGAATTGCATTATTCCCCGTAGATAAAAAGCTCTTTCTTGATGTTCTGATGATGCTTTAAGTTTATACTTCGCTCAGTTCTAGTGTCAACGCCACTTAAACACAACTTTTTTAAGTAATGCGACAGTACAGTTATATGACTTGTTGTTGAGGAACATCTCTTTACTTTTGGAAGAACTGAGATCATAAGTTGTTGATATTCTGTGTAGTTATTAAAAATTTACAAGTTTTTGTGATATTTTATCATACAGTAAACTGTAACTATGTCACAAAAGAAAGTGAAACCAATCTGCTCGTATCGATTTAGATACACGTTCCAGATAAAGGAGTTCTAGAGTCCTCAGTTTCCCGTGTCCATAAATTCCAGACAGTTTTCGGTAACGATGGCACTTGTAGGTAAGTTTGGACTTATACACTTTGAACCCGTAGATCCCACAGGTTGACGTCACTAGATATTCCGATCCGGATGTTTGAGTGGAGTAATTAGGTATAAGTAGGTCGTGTCATAGGGTGCTTCATTGTCCCCTCCATCCCTAACGAAAATTTACTATAATGGTTAACTATAGTTTATTACAGTTAACAATACTAAATACTTTGGTCCTTTGATTACTATGGAATATTACTCGAGAACTTTTTTTTCGATATTAAGAGCCTTCATATTTCAAATATTCCAATAAATTAAATGTAAATATTGGCAATGATTTTTAAATACTAGTAATGTTCCAGTTAATATTAAAAAAATCCTATTTAGAAGTTGTAGAAAATAAAATATAACATTTTGAAATTCATACTAAAATTACATTATCTAACTACAGTAAAAGCTTTGATTTTCTATATTAAAGCTTTGATACTATAATAACTATTTTAATAATTAATTATAGTAAACTACAGCTACATGTAACTATAGTCATTTTTGTTAGGGATTCATCTCTCTCATAATAGCCTTATAGTGTATTCTTAGTTTAAAAGGGGGCGGGGGCAATTGCCCCCCCCCCACCCTTACATTGTTCTCTCACAAAAAACCACCGGTCAAAGTAACATATTGGTAGGGCGTTCGCTTCGCGATCGGGGGAACAGGGTACGATTCATGTTTGCCACGCCATGTCAAGTCTAAGGTACTAGATGCCCGGTACTAGATGTGAAAGTTACGAGTCTTTATGATGAAACCTTAAAAAGCGACGGACACAAAATTGGCCGGTGTAAAGACGAATAATGACCCCCATAGCATAATGACCGGGGGTCATTTTTTGCCATCGAATAATGACCCCCAGTCATTAATCAACGGCAAAAAATGACCCCCCCCCCCGTCATTATTCGACGTCGAAAAATGACCCTTTTGCCCGAGAAAAAGTGTCATCACCTTAAAAAGCTGCATACCCCACGTGAAGAAAAATGACCCCCATAGAATAATGACCCCTTGTGGATTAAAGAGGATTAAAGTTGAAATTTTTAGGGGGAAAAATAAAAATTATAAATCAAGAGACCTGTTGGCCAAAATGCTCACCTGAGCTAAATTGGGAATAAATCGATGATACATGTATGTTGATCTTATTACATGTTCATTATACAATTATTACTGCTTTTAAGGTCAATGCGATGATTCAGAATCTAGAGGAGTAAAAAACTAGTCTTATCGAGCTCAAAGGGCGAGGTGAACATCTTTTTTCGATGGTATAAAATCATCGTACTGACAAAAGAAAACAGCAATAATTGTTGTATTATATGATTCAACTATTAAATTGATACAAACTGATTAAACAGACATGTCAAGTTACATTTGCTCAAGTCCTAGGCAAACACAGTGAGAGAATCGGAGTTAACATAAGTATAACCAGTATTAATTTTGCATTTGAAATCTAGTTTTGGTGCAATGTAGAAAAAAATGTCAGGCATAGCATCGAAAGGGGAAATGGGACATTATAAGAGGCAAAGATGAGAAGTTAGCTAAGAAATATCTTTGATGAACCCCTTTAAAGTCTTTAATTGGTGTAAGGGGATTTTCTTTGACTTCACTGTATCAAAAAGTTAGGGGTAGGGCAACCAGACTTGTAATGACTATTTTCAAGCGAAAAAATACGTTCATGAAAATGAAAGGGGGAGGACACTCCACCCCACCCCTGATTCTATGTGCCTGAATGTTATGCTCACCTTGTCCACTCAAGTATGAGAGATTTTTTTAACTATACTGTATAAAATAGAGGGGGTGCTTACAAGACTTTCAATGAACATTTTCAAACTAGAAATTGCTAAAATTTACATTCAGGAAAGGGGAGGCAACCCCCCCCCCCCCTCCTTCTCCGATTCTTTGAGCCTGAATATTATGTTCACTTGAGTGGAATTCGGATGCATGTGAAATAAGTTTTCAGAGTTGTTTTCAATTATTTTTAGTTCAATGTAGGAAAAATAAATTCTTATATTCACCTGGAAGGTCAATGAAATGGTATATCTTTAATGATAAATTGAAGACATTTATGTACTTCAATCTACACTGTATTGAAATGTTTCCATATTGATTTGACAAATGTATCATTGTTTTAAAATGGATTTCTAAAGAAAATTATTCCTCTTACCTATATGTATCCTATTCTCAGACGACCATGTTAACACACTTGAATGTACATAATTTAATTTGTCCATTCTGCGGGATTCTCCTTTATTGCTATATATTTGAAAAGAAGTTCCTATAGACCACTGTTTAAAGATAAAATTGAATGCACATTATACAATTGTATATATTTCAGGCATGCAGAAATTTTATGTCTTTTTTATGTCCCCCCCTCCCCCCCCCCCCCCCTCTGCTTCATATCTGGACGTTGAAGATATAGACCAACTTACAACTAAATTGTCTGACGAGCGGGATGACTTCAGCTTTTTCCATCGTCAACTTTCCTTATTGCGTGGACCCTGAGGTCCACGCAGAAAACATATTAGCGGAGTTAAACCGGATGCCATGGGCTTACGTCAGGCTACGCATGCGCAAGGATGCTAGAGAGTTCGCCTCTAATGGCTGGTCGCGTATCTTGGATTTAAACCTCCGATCAATGATTCCGGATTTAAATCCAAGTTTACGCGTTGCACACAGGTAAGACTTGGCCGAGTACGGCTCAGAATTACGGTAAATTCTGAACCTGGTGTTGGGGTGGTTTAAACCCAGCTTGATATCGTTTCCATGGACTTTTGATAGAATATTTTGACATTTTGGACTGTTTTGATGTTGAATAAATGTTTTATGGTGGTGATGATTGCATGGATAGATTTCGGCGTATTAAAGAGGCTATTTCAACTATTCTGCAAAAGATTTTTTATTGTCATATTGGGGATTTATTTTTTTTTTCACAACTCTTCAATGCCCCGTTTTAACATGTTCAACACTGATGCCGCTGAAGTATAATGTTACTAGAACTTTTCAAAAGGGACTTTATTTGGGGTACACAAATGTACAGTTAGAATTTTATAGAAACTTTCTCATGTAACTGCTTCATTGTACCGAATTTAAATCAATTTAGAATTTCTTACTTTCAAACAATGCAAATAGCTTTTGATACACACTCCAATAATTTCTAATAATGCTGAATTCAGTAGAAATAAACAATTAAAAGTTTATTTTTCAATCAATGTGCAGGCTATCCGTGACAACATACTCAAACTCGCCAATACTTTGTTACTGTATTGGATGATGTTTCACTGGATCGCTGGCAACTTACCTTTCTTACCTATATAAATAATGCCCAAATAACCTCTTTGTTAATTAGTTGTAACATGTTAACCTAAACCTTTGAACTAATGGCTTGAAATCTTAATCTATACAGAAAAGGTATCATTTGAATAATTTGAAAATTAAACTAATACATTGTTCTTTCGTTATATACCTCTGCCTTACGTTTTGGCATTGTTTCTCAATCACCATGAAGTTCTTAAAATTAATTCTTAAGAACCCACTCCCAGTTTTCAATCTCTTCAGTCGCTTGCAAAGCCTATATTTTGTTCACTATTTCATATTTTCGTTGATGGATCCCATGGTTTGAATTAAATTGTGTTTTTTTTTAAATCCATGTTTTTAATTAAAACTTTACCATCATTATTAATATCTTTGTTTTTAATTATATCCCTTTGAGATTTAACCAGTTTTATCAAAACTTATTTTGAAGTGCTGTAAAATTAGGTAACTTACTAGCCTTTGACATTTTAATTTGAGTAAGTCAAACTTAGGTAAGCCTTACTCAATTTTATAGCGTGCAACAGAACTACGGCTCAAGTAAACCCGACTCAACTGGGGTTTACGTGATCCGTGGATCAGCGGCTAAGCTGTACTTATCTAAGGTGGCAGAGGATAGTTTCGGATTAAGTACCGGTCAAAAAATATAAAAAAAAATAGAGAAACCTAAGGTTTGAAAGCATATTATATGTGATTTTATCGCTAGAATATTTTATGTGTGCATTTGGAGGGAATTGGTGGCCTTGTATATTTTATTGATATATGACACTTTAGTGTCACTACTACTGTTTATGGGATATGGACTAGAAATACGAAACTAAGATCAAAAATCACTTTTCCGGTATTTCACCAGAAAAGCGGGGTGGGTTCATAGGATGAATTGTAGCTTGAAAACGAGGTGGTTGAGCCATTATCTCTTGCTGTTCAGTGGTATGTAAAGGTGTTTGTCTGCACTTTGTGTGGTAGCTTAGGGCATTAGCACGGGCCTGGAAGCTGTTGCAGATCTGGCGAAATAGTGA